AGCCCCCGGTTAGCAACGTGCCTGCTTGCTTGGGGTTACCACCCTGGAAACATCCACCTGGAAAGGTGGATACCGGTAGCGGTGTGTTTTGGCAGGGGCGGAGAGCGGGGCCTGTGCTGTCCCAGTGCCGTCCGTTTTGTGGCCACTTCCCATGGCTGGAGGTTCTGGCGTGTCCCCGGGAGCTGGGCTCCCCTCCATGTGCTGGGGCCAGGATAGATTAAGGCCTTGGCATGTTGGGGAGGGGATCATGCCAGGGTGCCACGTGCCAGCTCCCGGCACTGCTGGCATCATGCAGTCACCCGGGGACAGGTCGTGTTCAGGGCTGACCCCAGCCCCCACCCCAGAATCGCCTGGCGCGGGGGCCTCCCAGGCCAGCTGCCTGCAGGGCTGGATGTCTCACCTTGCTGGGAGGGACTGGCATGAAGACGGCACTGGGAGCCTGCAGCCACCTCCCACAGCACCGTTGGGGCACCAGGAGCACCCCTTGGTCATGCGTTGGCTGCGATGCTGGGCCAGCTCCTGGCCTGGTGTGATACGGAGTATCCCAGATGACACAGGGTGTCACTTGCCCATAGGAGCTCTCATTTGGGATGTTACCTTTGAGACTGCAATGCGTAATGAGGCAGCCAGCCCACTGAGCCTTCCCCAGCTCAGATCGAGCTGCGCCCAGAGGTGCCAGGGCAGAGCTGCATGGCACCTGCATGGCACACGACTGTCCCTCCACAGGGGCAGAGGCCAAGCGTGGCACCGCGGTCCACATGCCCCTGCCCCTCTGCTGAGCTGAGGGGAATTCCCCCAGCTCTGCTGTGGCGTTAGCAAAGCCCCTGGACACAGCAGGGACTGGTGTCCCCAGCTCTGCTGGTTCTGGGCTCCCCAGGGCTGGGTCTGGCTCTCTGAGGAGGAGGGCCCCTGCGGGAGCTGCCTGAAATGTCCCAATGTAAAGCCCTAGGAATTTGCCCTGGGGAGACGGGATTTGCCCCACAGCACCCTGGCAGCATCCTGCCGGCAGCTGCGCCAACCCGCCTTCCAGGCACTTTTAAACAGTGTCTGGCTTTGCGGGTTTGATGTGTCTCTTATTAGCTTTATCTGCCATGGAGAGGGGCTTTAGCTGCAGTGATATGCCATGCGAGTTAACCCTGCCTCTCCCAGGCAGCCGCTGCCCGCTGGGCCTGAGGGTGCCCATCCAAGCAAGCTGGCCACCATGGCAGGGGGCTGCTGAGCCCGCCAGAGCTGCTTCACCCTTCTTGGCAGAGCTGCTCCCACATGCAAGCCCTTTTTTTTTTCCTAATAACACATCCTGGACAACGCCGTAATCCTGGCTCCCCAGAGCCAAAATCTGGCCTTAGTCACAGCTTCAAGCTATTTTTGCTTCTCCAAGCTAATCCGGGGTTGAGCTGTGCTGTGGTGGCCCTGCTGCACCCCCATCGCACCAGGGCTGCCCTCCCCTCCTTCCTGCAACCTCTTCTGCCCTTGCCTTGCCTGCACTGTCCTGGCACGGCTCTGCTGTCAGTGCATGGACACTGTAATCTCCTGTGGGCTCCCCTCCTTTGCTGTGAGAGGGGGCAGATCACGTCTCACCTGCTGCTGGTGCCTGGGTCGTGGGGGTGCAAGGGTGCTGGGCTGGGGACCCATGGGCTGGAGACCGTGTCAGGGCTGGGGACATCCCAGTCTGCCCTTGCCAGGTGCAAATACAGCCCGCACCAGCCGTGCACCCCGCTTCCTTGGCACCCTTTTAGCATGAGGCCATCTGTCCCGCTGGCACAGAGCCTGCAGAAAGGAGCCGCTGCAGCCCCGGGGGTAGAGCCCCTGCCTGGCCCACGGCTGGGGGGCTGTGGGGTGAAAGCGGCCACTTTGCAGCTGGGCAGGGCGTGGGGCTCGCAAGGGCTTTCTTCTGCCTGGTGCCATCTCCCCAGTGGCACAGGGGTGATGCTGAGGAGGCTCCGTGGTGCTGTGACAGATCAAGGATGCTGCGTTTTCCCTTCACCTCTGGCTTGTGCCAGCTTGGCATGGGTCCTCGACTCACCCCAGGCTCGTGGCTTTTCTCCTACCATCTCAGCGGGTGCCACCATGGTGCCGTGGTGCTGCGCCTGGGGCTGGAGGTCCCAGCACCGCAGCCTGGCGCCTCTGGGCTGGCAGTGCCTGACCGGGTTTGCTGCTGCTCCCACTAAGCTGCCTGAGCCCCGGCAGGAGGTGGGAGCAGCAGATGGCGAGGGGGAGGCATGAATTGCCTTGCTCAGGATCGCGTCTCTGGTGATGGGAGTCGGGAGCTGGATCTGGGCTCCTTCCCCTTCCAGCGTGTGGGGCTGGGCTGGACATGGACTGTGCAGTCCTGCCTGGGATGGGGCCTTGGGGCAGCAGGGCAAGGGATGAGCAAGCTCTGGGAGCAGCTGGGGGCAGCCGGCAGCCGGACAGAGACCTGGCTCCTCTTCCCAGAGGGACCCGAGGAGGGCTGGGCTCCCCTTCAAGCTCCCAGGGTGGCCCAGAGCCCTCAGGGGCAGCTGCGTCTCCTTTCAGACAGCAACTTCATCCTGGCCAACGCGCAGGTCCGCCGTGGCTTCCCCATTGTCTACTGCTCTGATGGTTTCTGCGACCTCACCGGCTTTGCCCGCACTGAGGTCATGCAGAAGAACTGCAGCTGCCGCTTCCTCTACGGGGCCGAGACCAGCGAGCCCATCCTGCAGCACATCGAGAAGGTGCTGGACGGCAGGCAGGAGTACCAGACTGAGGTCTGCTTCTACAAGAAGGGTGGTGAGTGACACATGGGGCCAGGGCCCTGCCCATGGCTCCAGCTGGGACTTGGCCCCGTGCCAGCCCCGTGGTGAAGCCGCTGAGCAGCAGGAGGACTGTCCTGCCTTCACCGCCCCTCTCCCCCACGCAGGAGACGCATTCTGGTGCCTGCTGGACATCATGCCCATCAAGAACGAGAAGGGGGAGGTGGTGCTATTCCTCTTCTCCTTCAAGGACATCACAGAGAGCCGGGGCAAGAGCCATCCGGTTGACAAGAAGGAGGGTGAGCCGTGGTTGTGGGATGGGGATGGGATTCGGGAAGCGGTGTGAGCAGTGGGCACGTGACAAAAGGGTTCCCAGTTCCCTGCTAGGTCCTGCCCGCCTTTGTGCACCCATGCAAGGAGGGGGTCCCCAAAGCAGCCCCTGCTCTGTTGCACCAGCGGTGGCACAAGCGCTCCCACTAACCCAGCATGTCTTGTCCACTGCAGAGAAGCAGAGGAGCAAGAAGCCTGGGAGCTCGCACCTGCGGGCCGCGCGGAGGCAGGGCCAGACGATGCTGCACCGGCTTAGCAGCCAGTTTGCCTGCAGGGACCGCAGCGAGATGAAAATCAGCCGTGTAAGGACCTGGGGGAGCCCTCGACTTCACCTGGTGCCTCCTGGGCTGAGGCTGCGAGCGGGCTGGCGGAGCTGCGGCTCTCCTGGGACCAGTCCTGCAGCAGAGCCCCGTCCCACTGGGTTGCTGTTCCCATGCATGCACCTCACTGGCCTCCCCAGGCACCAGAACTCCCTCCACCCTCAGCAGCTGCACCATGGTCCAGGCTGCAAATGTGGTTCGTTGGCAGCAGCAGAGAGACCAGTGGGTGCCTGGAGCTTGCCATGGGGAGAGCAGATCTTCTGGCAGCTCTTGCAGGGCTCTGTCTCTCCTCACACATTAGCTGGGGAAAACCCAGCCACTCACTCGCGGCACAGCTGTGCCGGCCCCGGGGAGCACCGTTACCAGGCTGCAGCAGGGCTTCCAGCAGCAGCAGGGACCAGTGTCGTCTCTGTGCCAGCCTATTCATGTGGCTGTGGTGCCCCAGCACAGGGTCCTCGGGCACGGCCGCAGCGATGGCACCACCTGCAGATGTGGGGCCAGGGCGGGGGTCTGTCACCGGCCGAGAGCGGCCAGGGGCCCAGAGCTGGCAAGCAGGCAAAGGGTTTCAGTATACCAGTCTTGAATCATGGGGGCTTGGGGGGGAATGGGCCCAGCTCTCCCCTTGCCCAGGCTGGGCTCTCGCTGGCCCCCAGCAGCGCCATGTCCCTGCAGAGGGTGGGGGTGGCTCTGCCCCAGCACACGAATTGGCACCTGGGACAGTTCTGGGCAGCAACTGGCAGTGCCAGTGGATTACTGTTAATAGCATTAGCAGAGCATTAATTTATGTGCTGTAATTGGGCATTCTGTGCCCGTCCCTGAGGGTGATCTCAGCGCAGCCCATGTGGAAATGTGTGTCCATCACCCCAGGCCAGCGGGACTCAGGAGGAGGGGGGTGCTGCGGTGGCCTCCACCCCTCGTGCGGGATGGCCCCTGTGCCATCCGTGTGCCACCCTGCCGCTTGCTCCCCCAGAACGTGTTTGAGAACAAGCCGTCCATCCCCGAGTACAAAGTGGCCTCGGTGCAGAAGTCCCGCTTCATCCTGCTCCACTACAGCATCTTCAAGGCCCTCTGGGACTGGCTGATCCTGTTGGCCACCTTCTATGTGGCCATCACCGTCCCCTACAACGTCTGCTTCACGGGCACAGAGGACAGCCTCTCAGCCACCCGTAGCACCATCGTCAGCGACATCGCTGTGGAGATGCTCTTCATCCTGGGTAGGTCCATGCCCGGGGCCAAGCACCCATGTGGGATGGGGGACATGGCTGGGTGGGGCAGGGGTACGGCCAGAGGAGCGGACCTGAGGGGTGATGGAGAGGGGAGCTGGCACTGCTTTGCCGCTGCCCAGCAGGGGGACCCGGGTTGGCCGTGGACCCCGGCCCAAGCTCCCCAGGCCATGGCAGGGGCAGTGAGGGCTGGTCCTGCTGTCCCTGGGGCAGACATCATCCTGAATTTCCGGACGACGTACGTGAGCCAGTCGGGCCAGGTGGTGTACGACCCCCGCTCCATCTGCATCCATTACGTGGCCACCTGGTTCTTTGTGGATCTGATCGCTGCTCTGCCCTTCGATCTGCTCTATGTCTTCAACGTGACCGTGGTGAGTGCCACTCGCGCCGCGGGCAGGGGGCAGCGCAGGGGAGGGGGCCCCTTTCGCAGGGATCCGCTCCCCACGCGCCTGTCTGGGAGCGGTGCGGGCAGCGAGGGGAAGCAGCGATGGCATCTATAGCAGGAAGCCTCCCACGCATCTTAATTTAACCAGAGGCTGCCACAAATGACAGCAACTGCCAAGGCAGTTACTGCGGCTCCAGGAGCTGCAGGCAGGCGCCTGCCCTGCACCCAGCACCCAGCACCCCTGTGCTCTGCCCAGGCTGCGGAGCAGCGCTACGGCTGAGTGCAAATACCCTGTGCGCACACACCATTGCAGCGAGGAGCACTTGCACGCTGCCTGCTCCGGCAGGGAGGTGACCACGCATGCGGGTACACAGGGCATATGCCGGTGACGAAGGCAGGTCCCAGCCTGAGCCTCCCCAGGCTCTCGAGGGGCCCCGCAGCGCAGCGGGTGTGATGGGCTGCACAAGTGTGCCACTGGCATCAGCCCCTTCCCACCCTCTGCTAATTGGGGCAGGGAGGGGAGGAGGGAGGCAAGTGCAGAGGCTGTAATTACGCTTATTGGAGGCAGAGCAGCGTGCAGGGAGGACAAGGGCGCTTGGGGCTGGAACTACCCCCCTGAGTCAAACCCGGCTCCGCTCGTGCCCCGGCGGTGCTGCCCGGCAGGAAAACAACCGTGGCTGCAGTAGGGGGTGGTGACGCCGACTGCCCGTCCCGG